TGTGCGCATGATTGTTATTGTGTGATCGTGAGGGTTATAATTTAATAAAGGAAGTGAGTTTTAATTATCTGTATTATTTTATCTGTTGCAAAAATAATTCTACTTTTTCATAATTCAGGGATTCCAACCAAGTATGTATTAACTTTTTACACTCATTATATGGAAGGGGGTAGATGTCAATTATTTTGTTGATACTATTGTAAATATAAGATGAAAGACTATTGTGCTGTCTACTTGCAAACTTTGACTTTGCAAATCAAGAACTCGCGAAATAATATTACTGACTACTGAGCTGCGCCCATCTAATGAATGTTTGATCCTCCTACAATATGCGATTCGACCAACCAGAGAATAATTATTTTTGTCACAGCAAACCTTTATCTAGACATATTTAATTGCTTGTTTTTAAATACAAAAGATAAAAGAATAAAGATTAAATACGAAAATCCAAGAGTGCTTGCATTATATTAATTGGCGGTGGCTAGGACTTAATTTTTATTTTATATTTATATGTACAAAATACCAACAAAATACTAATTTGTATCGACATAAAAAATGCATTATTTGATATACAGTTGCCATGGTAACAAACACATACATACGTTTTCATCCACCACAAGCATGCTCAATTTGGTATCGATATTAAGCATCACCGATATTGAGCAATTTCGTTAATTACAATATTCTGTTGTGTAGTTTGTTTACCAAGTTAGTAAGGTTACCGGGGCTTTGCACGGTAGTAGAGTAGGATGGGACATGGGTTATTTAGATCAACCATCTTTAAAACTAGTTAATGAATGACGACCTCCGTGGTCGAGTGGTATATACGCCGGGTTTATTTTATTTTTATTTATTTATTTAAAATTTACTTTGCGAACTCCACGCTAAAAGCATCCTCTGCCAGTCAACCTTTAGGCATAAAGAAATCCACGAGTAAGGCTATAAAAAAAAAGTGATTTACTGTATACATACACCAATAAAAGCAACTACATAAATATTTATACACATGTATGTCATACACATAATCATTATTAAGACAGTTTATAAAATATATTGATGATGAAGGGACTGTGAAGGGAACTTGTGAGTTGAGTTTAACGTTCTTAGCTTTCTAGGAGATGTTCATGAACTTTCTTCTTAAAAATGAACCTATTAGGTGACCTTCTAACAGAGTTAGGGAGGCTGTTCCATAGTCGTGAAGATTGAATGGCAAAGGAATCAGACATATAGCCAGAGTGGAAGAGAGGAACAGATAGTGCAAGAGTATCAGTAGAACGAAGTTGAAGGTCATGTGAGTCACAAAAATATTGTTTGGATCGTAAGTATTCTGGAGGGTGAGGGTTGAACAGGATAGGGTTGCAGGGCGTCGCCTACTCAGGGGCCCCGAGTCCGAATCCAGGTGGGGGCAAATGTTAGTATGATGTATACGAGCATTTGAACCTTAGTCATTGATGTTTATATATATATATATACATATTTATATATAAAAAAGTACATATGTATCAATATGTATCCTATCCGTGACCCTGGCATTTTATAACACAACCTACAATGCTTACTTTGGGGTTAGGCTAATTGGTGTGAGTGTGGGAAATATTTATATTTAATGGAGTCAAGATATATACAGACAAAGTATATATAGTCTCCTTGGCATGAAGTTATTTAATGACCTCATCTTCGGTGCAATCATCGAATCCAAAGCGCAAACTGCAGCTAGAGAACTGGGAGTCCTAATAGGGTGAAGCAACGATGGACAGCTCTTAACTTCAACTCTTGTTGAAGTTGTGGTAAGCTCTGTACATCGTAGATCCAATCACTGCTTAACCACTAAGAAATAAAAAAGCAATCAATACCATTAATTGTACATGAAATTTTTACAAATTACTTATTTACGAAATAGTCTGAAAACTATAGTTTTTAACTCTATTATACCGGCTATTAATGCGATTTTTTTCACATATCCCAACCACATCATTTCAAACAAACGGATCCTCTGTATTCACAAACGCTGAATACTTTTGTAATGCACTCCAACTATGAGGCAGAAATGAAAAAATATATCCCTGCCGAGCCTGCCCTAAAAATATTTATCCAATTTGTTGGCATAAGAGCTACGGACCAGACCTACGAACTTACTGACAATGCCATGCACGACTTTAAGGGTTCCTTTTTCACTATCAAACCCTGAAGAAGAATCACTAAATACTATACACATAAAATGTCGATGTTACCTAAACACCAAATTAATAAAAAGTGAGTATTTATTAACAGAGTATTACAAATTAGTTTTGTTATCAAAAGTTTCAACTATGTTTTATTTATGTTTTTATTTTTTAAGCATTTAACTGCTAGATGTTTAAATCTAAAGAAAAGTTTTACTAAGAATAATCCACGCGGACCAGGCAGCAGACGGGACTCGAACTCACACCCTTCGCAATCCGGGTGAATGCACTGACCAATTATGCTACCGCGACCCTCATGGACCGCGTCGAAATTCCTCTAGCCATTGTTAAGCTGGGCATTCGTCCAGATAGCAACAACAATAGGGTACAAGTTCGAGTCCCGTCTGCTGCCTGGTCCGTGTGGATTTTTTTCTAGTAAAACTTTTCTTTAGATTTAAACATCTAGCAGTTAAATGCTTAAAAAATAAAAACATAACTATGATTGCTAATTCTTCTTTCAAATGTTTAATACTTGTAAAAGAACTCATTTGACATTGTGGGTTATCTACAATGCGAAGAGATGGCGCTGCCTTGCAGCCTTTGGCTAAAGAAATTTCCACCCGGCCATCAGGGCCGCGGTAGCATAATGGTCAGTGCATTGCATTGGCCCGGATAGCGAAGGGTGCGGGTTTGAGTCCCGTCTGCTTCCTGGTCCGCGTGGAATTTTTCTAGTAAAACTTTTACGTTTTATTTATTTTTTGTTGAAGCATTTTACTCCACAGTTATTTATTAAAAAAACATTTTAAATAAATTTATTAAGTACGTGAGAAAATAAGATTTTTAATAAGGCAAATCATTATTCATTAGTTGATCGCTTTTCAAAAAGCTTTTCTGTCACTTAGGTATTTATTAACAGAATATTACAAAATTAGTTTTGTTATCAAAAATTTCATCGATGTTTTATTTATTTTTTGTTGAAGCATTTTACTCCTCAGTTATTTATTAAAAATCATTTTAAGCAAATTTAATAAGTACCTGATAAAATAAGATTTTTTAATAAGACAAATCATTTTTCATTAGTTGATCGCTTTTTGAAAAGCTTTTCTTTCACTTAGATATATGTTTATCGATGGTGCGGGTTCAGTCTTGCAGCTGAATTTTCTAGCAGTATTCTCAACCGTAGCGAAATCGTTTGTGCATGTCCTTTAACACTACCATGAATTTAATTCGAATAGTTGAATTCGATCTAGATATACGTCGTATGTGTACTGATTTTTAGTTCTCATTACATCCGTTGTGGCGCTGCCTTTCAAGTTTCCATACGTAATTTGACATTAACATTTTGCACTCGCGAACTGTTCGAATTTGATATTGGTACTAAGGGTACAGTACCCTAAGCACGAACCAATATCAAATTCGAACAGTTCGCGAGTCCAAAATGTCAATGTCAAATGTGTGTTTCCATACAAATTTTGAGAATGACATTTCGTAATTCGAATACTTTACGAGTACAAAATGTGGTACTTTGTGGCTCTGCTGCTCAAGTTTTCATACAAAATTTGATATTGACATTTCGCACTAGCAAACTATTCGAATTCGATAATGGTTCGTGCTGGGGGCACTGATAAAGATGAATTTTGCATTAAATGTTTTATTCGGATGACATTCATTCTAAATTTAATGTGATGGGCGGTCCACGACGGTGGATTACTTTTTGTGCAGTCCTATGATATGGAGAATTTAAATAAAAGCTAGTTTTAAATAAATAAAAGAAAATCTCAAATTTAGTATAATTGCTGGTTTTTTACTAAATACATCATGTGAAAATTGGGTGCGTACTGCGTATTAAACACTTACGTCAAAACGAGATAAGTTAACAAATATTGTGTAGGCAACATTTTGATGCAATGTGTCCTTGTTGTTACTAATTTGCATTTGATCAGCTCGTAAATTTTTATTGAATAGAGGATAAATCTATCCTAAAGCGAATAAGAAATGATCAAATAATCTTATTTATTTTGTTTATCGGATTAAGAAATAAATTTATTGTAACAATCAATTTGCAAAGAAATAAAAATGAACTTTATTAAAGTTGACTAGTTAAGAGTTGTTAATTAAAATATGTCCTGAACAAGTATTTCAGCTGACAAGAAGAACGGTTGCAAGATACTTTTCAGCTTTTTTCCGAAATAATGACATTTACATTATAGATTGATTAGATTAGATTATATTTTATTTCGTCAATGGTTATGGTAGTAGTAATGGACTGTCAATGATACATACGTTTTGGTATCCGTAGGGTCCTTTCGAGCCCTATTGCTGTCGTTCGCTGTCGGTTTGTTTGACCGTTGTCTGTCAGACAGGTTTTACAGGCTTTGGATCTACAAAATGCTTGCATATATGTACTATGATAATAATGAGAACTGTAGATGGTAGATATATTCAAATAAAACGCGTATAAATTGTCAAAACATAGATTTAGCAACAATTTGGGGCTCCCAAATTAGAAGCTAATTTACTAGTTAATTAATTAGAAAACAAAGTGGCAATAGCCGGCATGAATTACCGATAATCTTGATACTCATTTGTTATCAACTTGGAAAACTCGACTCTAGCACGGACAGGCAGAATGTAATATGAAATATTATTAAGCCGATAAGTTATTGGAAAAGACACGAAAATACGTCGACGATTATGTCGATCCAGACACAGAATGACATCAGTATGTGGTGTCCTATAAGAATTGTGAGGTGACTAATAAGATACTCGGCAAAAGGCTTAAATACCACATAACTTAAGCATATATATGCTGAGATAAAACGGGTTTCCTTTGGAAAGACGTGAGGGGGGAAATTTATGATCATTCTGTTCTTCAAGTTGCGGAAACCGTGAACATTTTGAATCATTAATCGGGCAGATGCGGACGTAAAACATCTTTAAAAATATAAGAATATCAAGTGACGTGAACACTTAGTGAATAATAAGTTTAGTAATTTAGAAAAAAAATGTACACATACTTCACTCTATTTTTAGGTAAGTTGTCCACATTCTTTACGCATTTTGCTGCGCAGCGGCAACACAGTTCTTAAGCACTTCTTCATTACGTAAACATTGCCTTTTTAATGAATCCCATTGAATCCCATCAGGAGGGCTATTCAAATTTAATTAAGGAAGTGAACTGCTATTATCGATACAATTAGGTAGTAATATTTTCATAATGCGATAAAAGCTACCACGGAAATCTCTTTCGTGACAATTATGATTCACGCAGTTTTTGTTGACTAACATCGTAAAACATAAACAGTCTAATCTAAAAATATTATTTATGATTAGTGCTAAGAATTAATTATCAAAATGCTACATGAGATTTCTGATAACACGTTAAAACTAATTATGTAATTTATTTGCGTTAATAATGAACATTTTGAATATATTTGGAAAAAAAAGACATTTTGCATGATAAAACTATTAAAACAATAGCATTGCAATTCTCACGTAAATCGTTATATTTACTGATCTAATGATCACCCCTCATTACCACTATTATGATTACGGATTCTATTATATACAAAGGAGTAATTGGATTTTGCCGGTTGACTCATTCCTACATATTGTTGTGAAAAAGGCCTGACGGATTCAGCTAGGACGGATATAATATGTATCCGGGATATATAGAAGTAGATATGTTTGTCTCAAAAAGTATTAAGGAGGTATTTCATTTTAGCGGGCATACTTGTAAGCTTGTTGTATTATAAGGCACGTACCTATAGTTAATGACCTTTGTAAAAACTTGACGTTTTTGAGCCATTTCAGGTTTTGTGGTCACAAGACCGAGATGATGGTTATCTTAAAATAATTGATTTATTGAACTTGTGTCTATAAAGGGTCCGAAAAGTCAAACATTATATTGAAATTAAATAAAGATGTTTGCCTCCTTTAAAATAATTTAACTTTTTTTTCGTCCATTGAGCTAGACACTGTCCGATCTATATACCAGACCTATTTGCACGAACCATTATCGAATTCGAATAGTTTTCGAGTTCGAAATGTCAATGTAAAATTTTGTATGGAAACTTGAACAGCAACTATTCGAATTCGATATTGGTTCGTGATACATTGCCCTGTAAAAGTCCTTGTTAAAGAAGTATGTTTGATTTTCTTCCTTCATAAAAAAAACGTAAGTGTCTCCTCGCCACTCACATTTTTTCACACTCAGTTGGAACAAAGTATAAAAACACCATAAGGGAAGAAGGGATTATAACTATAGGTATAGGTGGAGGAAACTACCATAAAAAACTACCATGGATAAGTAACAAATAACATAGACCCTGGCGATATATCCAAGTGATTAGATGTCTCTACAAAACCGCCACCATGTCTGTCCAAGTACAGAATCAGCAAACAAGTCTCATACCGTTGCATCGTGGAGTGAGACAAGGGGACGTTATTTCCCCGAAATTGTTCACTAATGCAATGGAGGATATGTTCAAGACGCTGAACTGGAAAGGACTTGGCATCAACATAAACGGCGAACGCATCTCTCGCTTTCGATTTGCAGACGACATCGTCATCATAGCAGAAACCCTGCAGGACCTACAAAAAAATGCTGAATGACTTGGCTGACTCTTCTATACGCATCGGCCTACGGATGAACTTGGATAAAACCAAGGTCATGTTCAATGAACATGTTCTACCGGAACCGATTGCAATACACGGTGCCGTTCTCGAAGTTGTTCAAAAATATGTATACCTCGGGCAGACATTGCAGTTAGGTAGAAAATCCTTTGAGGACGAGGTAAATAGATGAATTCAGCTAGGCTAGCGTTTGGGAAGCTACGTCAAATCCTGACATCGTCGATCCCACAGTGCCTAAAGACGAAAGTCTTAAATCAGTACGTCCTACCTGTGATGACATACGGAACCGAGACGTGGACACTGACGGTACGGCTGGTCCACAAGTTCAAAATCGCACAGCGCGCTGTGGAAACTGCTATGCTCGGCGTTTCTCTGAAGGATCGCATCAGAAATGAGGTAATCCGACAGAGAACCTACATCAACATAGCCCACCGGATTAGCAAGCTGAAATGGCAGTGGGCTGGCCATATTTGCCGAAGAACCGAAAACCGTTGGGGTAGACGAGTTCTGGAGTGGAGACTTCGTCTAGGCAAACGTAGTGTAGGACGTCCTCAGGCACGATGGAGTGTCGATTTGCGCAAGGTGGCTGGCAGAAACTGGATGCGAGTAGCCCAAGATCGATCTGAGTGGTGTGCAATTGGAGAGGCCTATGTCCAGCAGTGGACTAGGATAAGCTGATGATAATTGATGAACATAGACTCTACGTGTGCGGTCCGAGTCGTATTTGGGCGTTTTTTTTTGATTAAATTGTACCTTATTAACACCTATTTTATTTTAATTACAGTCATAGCCGAAGCACTTTATTCAGAATCGGCATGGGAATTTGACAGCAGACAAAATTCCAATGATAATGTTCAATTTTTCTTCTATTCGCCGAACTTACACTTCCGTGCACAACGCCAAGGGACAGATGATTTTCTGAATTACGATTATTCAGACGACTCTGGAGGAGGATGGAGAAACAATGGAATGATGTTAAGGTATTTTCCTGTATTTAGTAATCTTAAATATAAATCGATTATATAGTTATATATTGGTACGAAGTTCATTTTCGGACGGTATACGGACTTGGCCGATGGGGGCTAACCAAAAAAAGTGTGAGATTTTTCCGTCACACAAAACGATCAGTTATTTCATAGTGTCTTGTGCGCTACTTAAAATTAGGTTTATTTTTCCTTCGTTCTAACTAAGTGATCCACGACACACGTGTGCTTTTTTAAATAAAAATGAATCGCCGAAATGTTTTGCGCGCCTAATTTCCTAACGATGCAGTCGTTCCAACCAAAATAGGTAAATAAATTTTTTCGGCGGTTGAACATTGTTCAATAATTCAAAATTACGGTTCATACTACGAGACGTGCTATAAAACTTTAAACGCACCCTCCCATACATGGCACCGCCGTATCCTTTACGGTTTTTTTTTATTTTGGTTGAACTCCTTGGAAACGCTTTTAATATATGTCTTTATTTCACTTTAATACCAAAAAGTAAAAGATACGAAAAATGTAGTTCTAATTTTCACCAACCGTACCCTTACCCGCCATTTAGAAATGCGCGCCATTTTACATATTAGAAAAAGTTTGCTTCATTACTTAAATTAGGTATAGGTACATTGTGTTGAAAAACGTATGACATTCGTGCGGTATTGGTATTTTTACAAACTCGTGACTATGATAAACCATCGACTTCGTCACGGGCTTACATTCGTCCACTCCTGTGTAATAATAACCAACTTACCGCACTATTATCATACATAACTATTGTTGAAATAAATAAATTTTTATGTGTTCGTTATTGTCAGGACAAGGTTTGTATAAAAGAAATTAAAAAAACTAATAAAAAAAATAGGCTGTGCGTATTCGCCGGGTCAGCTAGTCTATATAAATGAATGCCTATTACCCTTAAGTTAACTTGAGAACGAACCACTTTCATCCATCTTTTTTAAGTTTTGTATACTTTGTAGAAGGTTGGACAAAATTATGAAAGTTATGCGAAACTTAAGGTAACGGGTACGTAATCGCGGGGTTATATAAAAATGGTATACCTTTAGTTCGCATATTAAATTATTTAATAATAATATAATATAACAATATAATTAATAGAAATTAATACAATGTTTAATACAATATCGAATAATGATTGACAGTTAAATGACTTAGAATAATGTATGTAATTAATAATGTTTAATTTAAATTTTGACGAAACGTAAGTGGATTTAATTGTAATTAATAATCTATGGGACATGTATTTGAATGTATACCAGTGCCTGCAATAAAAATGATTTATTATTATTATTATTTATTATAATTATTTAGGTGATCAAATATGGGTTTAATGCCTGTACTGCTTTTTATTTGAATCTCTAGTTAAATCCTGAACAATGATCTCTTGCTGTTGTGTTGCTCTATCTTTGGTCATTAAATGTATATATATATATATATATATCAGAGCAAAACTAATTAATTAATTAATATTTCCAACATGCACACCAATTAGCCTAGCCCCAAAGTAAGCACTGTAAGGCTTGTGTTATGGGATACTAGGGTAACGGATGGAATACATATATAAGTAAATTTATATAGAAATACATATTAAACATCCATGACTGGAGTACAAATGCTCGTATTCATCACACAAACATCTGCCCCCACCGGGATTCGAACCCGGGACCGCTCGTGTCGGCGACACCATGAAACTCAGCGTTTAAACCACTCGGCCACGGAGGTCATCAATGACACTAATGGGTGCCCGCGACTTTGTCTGCGTGAAAAAATTGATTTTTAATTCAAACTTAGGGTACAAGTTTGCACGTATTATGATGAAAACAAGATTAATCGGATACAAGCTATCCTGTGTCCTTCCCCGTTAAATTATCTCTATACCAAATTTCATCTTAATATGTTCAGCGTTTTAAGCTTGAAAAGGTAACATACAGACACACTTTAATATTATAGTGGTAATATAACATAAGTATGGATATGGATTAAAATACCACAAACAACAATCAGGTATTTACATAAATAACAATTATACATAAATAACAATGTGGTCAATAAATATCAAATTAATTCTAAGAGACATCATTACCCGAGAATGGATTCAAAGATCTGGCTGTCTTTTTGTGTTCATAATTCTACGACAAGGTTTTTATAAATTGCATCCATGTGAGACTGGGGCAGGTGGTTAAGTATGAAATTTAAATACTATTTATTCTTTACTGAGCAGTAACGTAAAAAAAAGATAATATTTACGTCTAGGTACTATAAAAAGTTATAGGCAACACTGTGATCTAAAAATTTTAAGAAATCGAATCAATAAAAACGAATGTAATGAATGTAATGTTCTATAGTTTTTGCTACATCGAGGGTCAAGTTCTTTAGGTAAGGAAGTCGTGAGAAAATTTATTATTAAAAATTAACTAAGATATAGTTACGATGATCAATCGGTACACGATGTTTAGACATTTATTATGAAAATCAAACATACGCCAAAGCTTTAATTTAAATCATTCGAGGAATTAAGGTATTTACGATGTTTATACGCTGTCAGTGAATATGACTAATTACCATTATCAAGTACCCAGTAAAATGTTTTGTAACAGACTAAATATAGAATAGAATATTAAGTCTCGACACCAAAATATAATAACAGTTATCCTCAAGGAATTAATTAAAAGTCTTAAAACAGGTACCACAAGCGTCACACAGTCGTAACACCATATCCTTAGATTAATAGGATAATAATCTGAATTGTTTGAATCCAAAGACCTATTCATCTTTCAATAAATCTTGAACTTCGACCAGAATGTTTTGTCATTTCCTGAGCTTTGCTTTTAGTTTGATCAATTTAATGATTCAAATCCAAAACCTCGAAGATGCCACAGAGATTATAACATCAGAGAAGTTTAATCACTAAAAACAAGCGACCCGCTCCGAAAATGAGAAATTTAGAAATACGAAAAACAAATAAAACCCAGCTTTCCGAATTTCCTAATGGTTTCTGGAGAATATTCCGAAAACCTACATTCATACAAATCTTGTCCTCAAAAACAGGAACAGAACAAGGTTCTCAAATTTCATTCCGATTTAAATATGGCAATTGATTTTATTTAAAAAAGGGGGAAGACAGCCACAGAACAGAAAAAAGGCAGCTTCCCAAAATTGGTCAGTAAAAGAATTTAAAAAGTTTCTACAATCGATAACTCTGAAACTTTTAAAATGGATTAATTACTAGTTCTTATTGTGGTGTGGTAAAAAAATATACCACCAAAGTTTCAACAGTTTGATAGCGCCGTGGCAATTTAGTATTAGGGATGGGTGACCGAAAATTTGGTATATCTATCTCGTTCGTGCTTTGGAAGGCATGTTTTTCCCGGCTTCATCTGGTGGAGGTGGATCAATCATGGTCAACAACAGAATTATAGCTTTTTATATCCGTAGGGAAGGCCTGTGCCCAGCAATAGGAATATTAATGAGCTGATGATGATGATGACAAATAACGTTACAGGCAACAGTGGCAGCAGTCATTCCAGCAAAACCCGACACAACAATCGGTTACGAACGTTGATGTTTGCATCAGGGGCTGCCCAACCACATCTGAATACAACCCTGTATGTGGCAGCAACGGCGTAACCTACACGAACCCCAGTCGCTTGGAATGTGCCAAATATTGTGGAGTCGGTTAGTTACTTTTCATTGGCCCATATTTAAGGTACCAGTTGTGTTTTTAGGTGATCATTCATTAGCTATTTGAGAACCATTTAAATATATTCGCTTTACATTTTACCACCAAAATATAACCTATACACACCTTACAGATAACGTTACAAACGTTGCTCTGAACCCTTATCCTTTAAACAAAGTGCTTAATTTAAATCTTATCGAAAAAAATAGAAACTATGATTACCACTCGAAACGAGAACCGAAGACTTTTAAGTTATCATCGTTAACTTTAACTTGTCAGAGTAAGAAGATAAGGATTTAAATCCTTAGCAAATAAATAACGTAAAACAAATCTTATTAAAAATAAAGATGGCATTGGTACTAAATTAAACATCTGTCTCTCCTTTTCATTCTGTATAGAGTAGTAGTATATTCGAGACCAGAATAGTGAATGATTAATAACAAGGATACACTGTGGTCGAATTTCACTTTAGGTTAAGAGAATCATGCCAGAATCGACACCATTGGTGTCGATTCTGGCGTGATTCTCTAAACTTAAAACTAAATTTAACATCAGTCTCTCCTTTTCATTCTGTATAGAGAATAACAAGGATGCACTGTTGTCAAATTTAAGTTTAGCTTTAGAGAATCATGCCAGAATCGACATCATTGTTTCTTTTTCTTCTCTCGATTACTAAAAGATAGATAAAGAGTTCATTTCCTATTTATAATCTCTCCACAGTCAATCTAATTATTTCCGCTCTGTTATAACTATATTTAGTAAATAGTATTTCAATGTATAATAAAGTAATATAATGTAAAGGTCAGGGCTATCGTGTCATGTAGGTACAAGATAGGCCGATAATTGGTTCTAAGAAAGACGTTGGCTGTTAGACAAATAAATTTTCCAGTCTTATTTTAAACTGGTGAGGATCTAAATCCCACTAATATTATAAATGTGATAGCTTGTATGTTGAGTGTTTGTATGTTTGTTACTCAATCACGTAAAAACTACTCGCAGACAGAGTTTTGGATTTATAATATGAGTCTAGACTTTATAATTTGATGCCACTATAATAGAGAATAAAGTGCAAAATAAGCAATTTTAACTAGTGTTAATGTAAATTCATAATTTTACAGATGTACAGCTGTCAAGAAGATCGCGGTGTCCTATTCCTGGATTAGAGACACCGAGTCCAAGTACTGAACCAACGGCATCATCTGAGCTCCCAATATTTATCCCTTTAACCCTACCACCTAGTCCAGTTACCCCTACACCTAGTACTATAACCCCTACACCTAGTACTATAACCCCTACACCTAGTACTGTAACCCCTACACCTAGTACTGTAACCCCTACACCTAGTACTGTAACCCCTACACCTAGTCCTGTTACCCCTACACCTAGTCCCGTAACAAACGGCCTTGGATTCACAATTCCCCAGGATATTTTAGACAACATATTCACCACAAACTACGGCGGTTTAATAGACGAAAGGCATGAATGAATCACAATACTAATATTTGCTAATGTCTATTACTTATTATCTCATTAAGTAATAAAAGTTATGCATAAATAAAGCATGGTATTTAGTAATAATTTTTTCTATAAGCTAATCACCTAATTATATATCACCTCATGCAGGTAATTGGCTCCTTTTTCTATATATAAGTTATGAAAAACAGTTTTGGTAAGTATTTGGCGTCAGTATCTACTTGGTGAACGACTCAGTTATTGCAAATAAGTAACATGAAACCTGTGATTATGTTCAGTGAAAAATGTATATTGTTGGTGATAATTTATCTGGTGAAAGGATTTTCCAGTGCAACAATAAATCGTAAGTAAAATTATTTTTATTATGGTTTCTCCCTTCCGTGTAGTATATTCGAGACCAGAATAGTGAATGATTAATAATAAAGGCGATGTCGATGATAAAATAATTCCCAGCAATGAGTTTACTTTGAAGTTAGTTTATTATTTTTCATCCAGTTCATATAAATCCAAAAGTATCTTTGATGCATTTTAGTATGGTTTGCTAAAATCAAATTTACTCTGGGATATCAATCAAGTATAGACAAAGTCGCACCAGCTAGTTTCTTAAAAATACCTTTATAATTTTTACTTTCACAGCACCCACCAAATCTGCTACATCCTGCAATGGAGATATAAGTAGATGCCTCCAAGAATCCATGCAGCGGGCTTTACCTACATTTGCCGAAGGAAACCGTGAGATAGAAGTGGAAAGACTCGATCCACTGACTGTGCAACGATTGGACCTAAATTTTCCAGGGGGTCTAAATATTCAATTTAGACAAGGCTATGCGAAAGGTCTGCGGAATTGTATAGTTGACAAAGCAAGGTAACTACTAATAGATTAAATTTACAAACGTGTAAAACTGTGTAGGATATCTCATGATATTTTATTTTTTGGAAAAGTATGCGTTAATTTAATAATTGTAATACCACATATTATCGAATACTAAGTTTACTATGTCTTCTTTCTTCCAGGCTAGTCGAAAATGTTCTAATCACAGACATTGTTTGCAATTTTTCTATCAAGGGAAAATATAAGTCCACTGGTCGTCTTCTCATGTTTCCAATCAATGGTGATGGTGATGCGTCAATCAAATGCAGTGAGTACTTTTGCTTACGTAAATAAATGTTGCTGTAATCAAACATTTTCTTGTGTTAAAGCAATATGCCCATGGAAATTTTGTAATACTTCATCTGATCTTATTTTTAAAGCATTTAAAAGAATTAAATAGTTCTTATACTTTAAATAACTTTGAGTTACTTTTTTTACAGGAAATGTAAGAATTTCGATTGCAGTAACCCTAAAATCTGTAGTACAAGAAAATGGCAGTAAACATTTGGAGATAGTTGATTTTAAGACAAATCACAAATTCGTCGGACGGATCACATATAAATTGACGAATATCTTCAAGGGCAACCCTGAGACAAGTCAGTATTTTATTTATGTGTCAATAATTTCAAATATAAAAACTTTGTAGGAACTTTTTAACTGATAATTTATTATTTGCGACAGTGAATTCTCTAAGTTAGCTTGACTACACATAGCATTGCATTGCTAGTTCGTTTTTTAATCGAATTTAGACCACAGTTTATCTAAATTATAAAAAATAAAAACTATATTATATATTATTAAAGCAGTTCATTACTGAGTTTAAGCCTCTTCGATACCTTTTCATTACTATTTACTATTTCCAAATGACAAGTAAATTAAATCCCGTGTAAATAATAATATGGAAAAAATCCTTTTTCTATAAATTGTTAATATTATGTTGTTCGTTGCAGGCAAATTGGTGATGGAATTTATTAATCAAAACTGGCGTTTGGTAGCAGAAGAGTTTGGCGACCCCATTGTGGAGTTTGGTGTGACCAGGATAATGAGCAATGTCAAGCAAGCCCTCAAAATGATACCCGTAGAAAAAATGTTAAGCTTTCCTTTAGAATTTTAAATGAGCAGTAATTTTCAATTGTGTTTTCTCGTTGTCCAAGTTTAGGTTGGATTATATGTTAATAGTGATATGACCGTAGATTTTGATAAAGTATATTTATTGTAAAAGTTCTATCTTAAAATATTAGGTACTTATGATGTTTGAATAGGTACTTATTCATAATCTTATTTTTTTATCTTATACTGTGATACTTAATTGTGTATAAGTATTTTTATAATTCCTTAATTATATCTCGCCAATTTTAATTATTAAAACCAGAATGTTATTTAGACATTTATAAATGAAAATAAATACAATGCAAAGTATTTTAATTGCTTTTATTCAAAATATTCAATTTGTAGGTATAATTAATACTCGTGCTCTTTTAAGTAGATATACAGTAGTATGGAAACGTTGTGTTTTTCGATGGTGTCTTGTAGACTGTATTATTTCCTATTTCCACTAATTTCATTAGACGTTATAAAAATATACTCATACCTCTTATTGTTTATATTTGTAATCTAGCATTTGATACTGGCTGTTTTCCTTCCGCTTTCAAAAATGCTCTTATCCATCCGATTTATAAGTCAGGGGAAAAAGACTGCCCTAATAATTATCGTCCCTTTTCTATATTACCAGCACTGTCTAAAATATTGGAACGCCTAATCAATAACCGATTAATGGACTTTCTGAAGAGCACATCCGCATTGGCTCCTGAGCAATACGGCTTTACTCCGGGAAAGTCTACGGCGGATGCCGTTCACGAACTCACGGATCATATAGCAAGGAACCTTGATGAGAACAGAAAAACTGTCTCCGTGTTCTTAGACCTTGCTAAAGCATTCGACACGGTTTCTGTTCCCATCCTGTTGAGTAAACTAGAAAGTCTGGGAGTTAGAGGCAGACAGCTATCGCTATTCAGCAGCTATCCACTGATCGTTATCAATGTGTTACTGTTAATGGTATCAAGAGCTCTGACTGTCACATAGAATACGGAGTACCACAGGAAGTATTCTCGGCCCAACACTCTAATTTATATCAATGATCTGTCTTCTCTTCAAATTCCCAACTGTAAGATCATCTCTTACGCTAATGACACTGTACTGATTTTCTCATCTGGCTCATGGAAGGAGACCTTCCGTCACGCCCAGTATGGTCTCGATCTGGCACCTCCTGCTGGCTTCAAAATAACGTTTTGACTTTGAATATCCTGGAGACCCAATATATGATAATATCAATTAAAAATATTCCACAAAAATTGATTAAGGATCTTTCGTTAATAGCCCACTGCCATCCTAACTCTTCAATAAATGCATGTGCCTGTCCTCCGTTGGAGGCATGTGGGACTGCTAAATATTTGGGTGTTGCTGTGGATTCCAAGCTAACGTTCCTTGCACATGTAGATCTTATTGCAGGTAGATTACGCAAACTAATGTACGTTTTTAAAAATCTTCGTCATGTAGCTGACTTGAGTCTGGTTCTATCGGTGTCCCTTTGCGAATCTATCCTAACATACTGCATTACCTCGTGGGGAGGTACCTCTAAATCGATCTTAAGAAAGCTCGAACGTGCGCAAAGAGCAGTAGTTAAAATATGTATTAAGAAACCTATTTTATTCCCAACTACAGAACTATATCAAATATGCCAAGTTTTAAACGTCCGACAGTTATTTATACTATATACTGTTCTCAAACAACACAGTGCGGTGGATCCCTCCCGGCACTCTGCTCAGCGTAATCATCTTGTAGCTGCCACGCCTCGGTGCAGAACTACTTTTGCACACTGTTTCTTTTATTTTCTGTGCCCGCATAGCAGTAAGCTATAATTTGCTGCACTCAAAATTAAAAATTCTCCACTACACAAACAGAAATTGTAAAATCTGTGTTACTAAATTTTTACATTCCCAAACATACTTAGAAACGGAAGGTTTATTACACTTCCATAGATAAATAATTAAGCCTAACCTTATCCCTCTCATGCTTTCACATTTATCATAAATACCGAATATACTTACACTCGTTATAGTTATAACATTAAAGCAAATTGTTACTTGTAGGCTTTGATTTTAATCAAAGCTTTGAAGGTATTTATTTTTATTTTAAGGCAATCGTGTCACAATTTTAATAAAATGTGTTCTTTTCTTCCTATACCTACAATTTGAATTTAAATGTCAGATCAATGACCCTATAATTTGCTCAATGTGCATTCTCCAGGGGAGGGAGAGTCCTGGTGCTCTGAGATACAGGCTTTGTGCCTAGTTCAGGCACCAGTCTCTCACAATCTATTTTATTGTTCTGATATAAAATTATAGTATAATAAGTTGTCAGGTGATTTGTAGATTGTGGAAGAATAAATAAAGATTATTATTATTAAATATTATTTATGATAAATTTTCTTCGTGTAAGAGTCCGATTCACTCTTAGTCATTTTATACTCTCGCTTTAACACTGAAGTATAATTATGATCAAGAGAAATTTTTGGGGCGATAGGAGTTTGTCACTTAAGATCACAAAATGACCATTAACCTTAAATGTAGATTACGTAGTTAACTACTGAGGAGGTAGGTATGTCACCTTATGAAATACACACGAAATTGTAATCACTCAAAAAACTATGTCTAAAGATTTCCATTCTCATTTACAAGAAATGTGTTATTTGAATGATGTCTATCAAATAAGTTGTAGCTACACTAATAAACTTCAGCATTAATGATATGTCCACAGAAAACATGTCATATATGAAAAATTTTAACTGTCACGCTTCTATCAATTCCATGAACGCCTTAGCTTGTACCCTCATGCTCTTCGGTAGATCATAGTCCATAATTAGCTTGTTCACGAAATTCTTGGTTTCATTTCTCGTCACCAGCAACCGTTCGCATGACAGCGATAGCAAGCTCACTCCTACAACAGCGGTTGTACACCAAATGATGATTGTTGCCAAAGAATCGTAATCTTGCTCAATTGTCCAAGTGCGCACGTAGTAAAATAATGAAGTCCAAATCGTTATAACGATATAACCAAAGGTTGCCACGAGAGATATGAAAATTTTAAAGTTATATATATCGTTGATGGGACTGCACGTGTCCCATATGATGTCATAGGCCATAGCCAAATCTGTAATCTTCATGTTGTCGAGGGTAGCCTGACCTATCAAATTCCATTATTTTTCTTATGTTTTTTTTAGCATTAAACTGCTAGATGTTTAAATCTTAAAAAAATAAGATGTTTAAATCTAAAGAAAAGTTTTAATAGAGAAAAATCCACGCAGACCAGGCTGCAGACGGGACGTTTTTTTTCTATTAAATCTTTTCTTTACATTTAAACATCTTATTCTTTTATTTAATAGACTTGAAACTTGGCACGAATACTGTGACCTAAATAAGTTATAAAGTTTGTCATTTTTAGTTTTCCTAAAATACCCTTTGGGAGTGTGTCGAAGTTTTTATATGGATTAATTTTAACGCGGTATTCGATTAACTAAATACTTCGTATTTTTGCTAAAGACCAGAAAAGAAAACTTGTATCAGGCTTTAAAATGGGGATAAAAGTTTGTGTGAAAAATCATATTCCTTAGGTTATTAGACTTGAAGTTGCATTAATAAGTTATCTAAATAAATTATGAAGTTTATCATTTTTAGTTTTCCTAAACCACCTCCTTAAAAGGGGATTGAGGGTGTCGAAGCTTTATATGCGCGGTTTTGAATAGTAAAGTCTAATATGACACATGGGTTATGCTGAAGTTTTAATTATAAGTCTACACATGTGGAAACTACATTTTATGATATTTCAAAACATAGGAAATTTGCAGAAGTATTGAGGAAAACTAAACTAACTAATTGTCTGGGATGAAAGTACTATGGCCCATAAAAAGTTAAAGTTATATTTTTTAATTTTGAAGCATTTAGCTGTTAGATGTTTAAATTTAAGGAAATTTTTACTCTTCGCTTCTCCCACGGCCAGTTTTATGTAGCATGATCCCGTGTAAGTTCGACTCAAGTTTGGTTCTATTGCACTTTAACAAGTATAAAGTTGTTGAACACTTCATCTGTTTAATTATCACCTTCTACCTTACACCTTCTGTTTAATATTTAGATACTGACTTCGAATGACAGTATCACAACAAAGTTTATTTTATATATATGTTTAGAATACCAGTTGCGTTATATTCAAAGTGATAAAGAACGCTATTGACTGATTTACCTACAGCATCGTCAGTGTTTACCACAGCATTTCTGTCTTTCAAAAGACATGAACATTTATAATCGCTTATTAGTCGTTATCAGACCTTATACTGTTACTAAAGCTTTGCTTTGCTTTTACTGAGGGCAATTTAAGTAATTTTATGCTGTGAGTCTACGATCCTTATTTTTGCCAAAATCAAACAAAATCCAACAGTTTTGCATGTTCCCAAAATGTGTATTTTTTTGTTTATCTGTTAATGAATCACAGTAATTATTACTACTAATACTGACAAACCTTCTAAAGCTTACACATCGTTAAGGTATCTTCTTAATCGGCTAAAGAACTTCCATCCTTTTTTTTATGTGTGGGAAATGCCGTACGCATCCTTTTACCACCGAGGAAGCGAGAAGAAGTTTACTGGGACATAGTACTTCACTCCAAGATAATATTTTTTGGTTTTCAATAAAACTTTTTCAAGTTTCTCTGTTCTGCTCTCAAACCGATCTGAGCCACATCAGGATTTATGGTATATTTTTACAAAATAATTGAATTTGGAATGTCCCGTTTTTTAATTTAATATTACACCAAATTTGACACGTTATTTATGATTTCAAATGTAAAACCACTTACTATTTTTTAAATAGTAAGCAGACTGATGAAAAGGCAGATATGGTTAAAAAAATTCCATATAGTAAAAAGTTCACGCGGACGAAGTCGCGGGAAAAAGCTAGTCGTTTCATTAATAATTATTGATCACTGCAAGCCTAGTTGAAAGCATCTATATCATCAAGAAGACACAACTCGAGGTGTTGTTCCAAATATATATTTGAAAAATTCCAAATTATTATACTATTGTAGCATCAATTACAGTATCAATTACAGTAGTTGTGGCAGTAGGCCATATTTTGAACTGCCAGCTCTCTCTCTTAATTCTCTCAATCTATCTTTAAAGCAAAGTAAATAGCCTACTACTGGTACCTATAAGTCTTTGCATACTATATTTTATATGTGTAATTTCTATCCAATATTTCGCCCACTTCAACTTCTTTATTCGCAAAAAATGATCCTATACCTAAAATATAGACTTTGACCTAATCCATATATCAATTTACCAAAACTTATTAAAATCGAAAAGAGTAAAATCCTAACAGATAGAGTAGGTAATTTCGGGATTTATAATATGAGTATGGTCTTTATAATTTGGCGTCACTATAAGAGCGGCTAAAGTGCAAGATAAACAAATTTTAACGAGTCCTAAATTTAAATTCTTAATTTTACAGATGTACAGGTGTCAAGGAGATCACGGTATCGTATTCCTGGATTAGAGACATAAAGTTTAAGCACTGAACCAACGGCATCACCTGAGACCCCTATATTTGACCTTTTATTTTTTTATATAACTAGGTAGGCAAATGACTCTACCCCACCTGATGTTAAGTGGTGATAAAGTCCAAACGCGAAGATAGCTGGTACAGCAGTTATAAACTGCTACACCAACTATCCTCACCTTGCCGGCCCGCAAAAATGCTTCTTCACGCCTCTCTTAAAGGACCCTAGATTATAGGAAGGAGGGAACACGTGCGCGGGTAAAGAATTTAACCCCTACACCTAGTCCTATATAACATGCCTGTGGGAATTTTGTAATACTTCATCTGATATTATTTTTAAAGACTTCAAAAGAATTAAATGATTCGTATGCTTATAATAACTTTAAGTTACTTTTTTTACAGGAAATGTAAGAATTTCGATTGCAGTGATCCTAAAATGGACTAGGTATAGTCCCGTAACCCTTGGAACCACAAACGACCTTGGATTCACAATTCTCCAGGATACTTTAGACAGCATATTCACACAAACTACGGCGGTTTAATAGACGAAAGGCATGAATGAATCAGCATACTAATGTTTGCTAATGTATATTAATTATTATCTCATTAAAAAATTCGTAAATAAAGAATGGAAATTTAGTAATCATTTTTTCTATAAGCTAATCACCTAATTATATATCACCTCATGCAGGTAATTGGCTCCTTTTTCTATATATAAGTTATGAAAAAAAGTTTTGGTAAGTATTTGGCGTCAGTACCTACTTGGTGAACGACTCAGTTATTGCAAATAAGTAACATGAAACCTGTGATTATGTTCAGTGAAAAGTGTATATTGTTGGTGATAATTTATCTGGTGAAAGGATTTTCCAGTGCAACAATAAATCGTAAGTAAAATTATTTTTATTATGGTTTCTCCCTTCCGTGTAGTATATTCGAGACCAGAATAGTGAATGATTAATAATAAAGGCGATGTCGATGATAAAATAATTCCCAGCAATGAGTTTACTTTGAAGTTAGTTTATTATTTTTCATCCAGTTCATATAAATCAAAAAGTATCTTTGATGCATTTTAGTTTGGTATGATAGAAATAAAGAGAGCTTTTAATGTCAGGACATAGACATCTATTAGATGTATTTTTTTTGTAAATTATTTGTGGGGTGGCTTAAGTTATATACGTTTTAAGTTTGTGTGTATTTTTATCTTAATAGGCTAGTTGACCCTTTTTGGAAAAAGGTTTTAAATGGTTAATTAATGTTCTATTAGACCGAAAAAAAATGTATTGTATTTTTTTTAAACCTAGAAAGCTACAAATCTTTAATTTTAAAATAGACTTTTCATGGTTATGTCCATGAAACGCTGTCGGCCATTTTAGTCTATAGATTATCTATGCTATGACGTGAACTGTCGTAAACAAAAACTCGTAAACACGTAGAAAATTACTTTTAACTGAGTTTATAATAAACAAAAACATGATTTCTAATAAATACCACGAAAAATAAATTAATTATCATTACTGTATTGTACGAGAATATAAAAACACATCCTTGAAGACTCCAGGAAAGTTGTCGATTAAAGTGCCGAAAGAAATTAACCTACGCAACTTTATTACACTTATTCATATGTTGTATCAGTTTTATGTTTATTACTACATTGTAATACTAAATGCACTGTACTTACATAGATGCCTTGTCGTTTCTCTGCTCCGCAGAGCAGAAATCGGGGTTTAGTGCAACAAATTCACCAACCATCATGCGTCAATTCTTGGCAGATTTGTGCTTTCTGCTTTCACAAAGCCGGCATCCATAATTAGTTTTGTCAAAAAAAACTAAGTTTACTGTTTTTTTCTTTCCTAAAGTTAAAAGTGTTTTATGATAAATTTAGTCAGACGAAAGAATCCACCTACAGTAACACGCGAATGACATTTAGTTGTTTACCAGAAGAGACGTCAAAATCATGGCGGATGTGGCGAACAGCGTTTTTAGTGTTTAAAAAATATAGACTAAAAAATATTTTTTAAAATTAAATTTCTACAGCAATCTTCTGCTTTTATGAAGTGAAATCGATATATTAAGGTTCCTTAGACTAAATACTTTAAGAAATAAACATTTATTTAATACAATTTGACATGAGTAAACTAGCCTATTGAATAGTAATAAACAAGACACCTATTCGCTTTTAAATGTTGTTTGGGAAATCGATAGAATACAGACGAAGTCGTACCAGCTGGTTTATTATAGGATAAAATAAAAATACCTTTATAATTTTTACATTAACAGCACCCACCAAATCTGCTACATCCTGCAATGGAGATATAAGTAGATGCCTCCAAGAGTCCATGCAGAGGGCTTTACCTACATTTGCCAGAGGAATCCGTGAGATCGAAGTGGAAAGACTCGATCCACTGACTGTGAAACGATTGGACCTAAATCTTCCAGGGGGTCTAAATATTCAATTTAGACAAGGCTATGCGAAAGGTCTGCGGAATTGTGTAGTTGACAAAGCAAGGTAACTACTAATAGATTAAATTTGCATACGTGTAAAATTGTGAAAGATATCTCATGATATTTTATTTCTTGTAAAAGTATGTGTTACTTTTATTATTATAAGTAATACCCCATATTATTAAATACTAAGTACTTACTATTTACCATGTCTTCTTTCTTCTAGGCTAGTCGAAAATGTTCTGGACACTGAAATTGTTTGCAATGTTTCTATCAATGGAAAATATAAGTCCACTGGTCGTCTTCTCATGTTTCCAATCAATGGTGATGGTGATGCGTCAATCAAATGCAGTGAGTACTTGATTATGTAAATGAATGCTACTACATAAAACATTTTCTTGTGTGAAAGAATAATATGCATATGGAAATTTTGTAATACTTCATCTGATCTTATTTGTAAAGCATTCAAAGAATTAAATCATTCGTATACTTTTTTCAGTAACTTTTAGTTACTTTTTTTACAGGAAATGTAAGAATTTCGATTACAGTGACCCTAAAATCTGTAGAAAAAGAACATGGCAGTAAATATTTGGAGATAGTTGATATTAAGACAAAACACAAATTCGTCGGACGGATCACATATAAATTGACGAATATCTTCAAGGGCAGCCCTGAGACAAGTCAGTAATTTATTTCTACTTCAACTATTTCAAACTTTATAACTGGTAATTTATTATTTGCGACAGCGAATTCTCTGAGTCAGCTTGATATTTTTTTCCAGATTATTATTGACACGGGATTTAATTACCTTTCTTTTGGAAATGGTAAATGGTAATGAAAAGGTATCGAAGAGGCTTAAACTAAATAATGAATTGTTTTTAATGCTAAGTGTTTGTAATTAAGAATAAAAGTGGCCTAAATTCGATTAAAAAACGAACTAGCAATGCAATGCTATGAGTAATAGTTAAATTAAATTAATCGTATAGTTTAAGCCTCTTCGAAACCTTTTCATTACCATTTGCCATTTCCAAAAGAAAGGTAATTAAATCCCGTGTCAATAATAATCTGGAAAAAATGTCCTACTTTTTTTATAAACTGTTAATATTATGTTGTTCGTTGCAGGCAAGTTGGTGATGGAATTTATTAATCAAAACTGGCGTTTGGTAGCAGAAGAGTTTGGCGACCCCATTGTAGAGTTTGGTGTGACCAGGATAATGAGCAATGTCAAACAGGCCCTTAAAATGATACCCGTAGAAAAAATGTTAAGCTTTCCCTTAGAATTTTAAATGAGCAATAATTTTCAATTGTGTTTTCTCGTTGTCCAAGTTTAGGTTTGATTATATGGTAATAGTGATGTGAAAGTAGATTTTGATAAAGTTTTATTGTGAAAGTTCTATTTTAAAATATTAGGTACTTGTGATGTTTAAATAGATACTTATTCATAATGTTAATTTTTTATCTTATACTGTGATACTTAATTGTTTTAGTATTTATATAATTACTTAATTATACCTCGCCAATTTTTCTTATTAAAACCAGAATGTTATTTAGTCTTTTAAAAATGAAAATAAATACAATGCAAAGTATTTCAATTGCTTTTATTCAATATATTCAATTTGTAGGTAAAATTAACACTCGTGCTCTTTTAGGTAAATATACAATAATATGAAAACGTGATTTTTTTGATGGTGTCTTCTCGACTGTATTAAATATTATTTATTACTGATCAAATTCGTCGTGTCCGATCCGCTCTTAGCTGGTTTTCTACTCTCAATTTAACACTGAAGAATAATTTATTATAATGAAAAGAAAATTTTGGGGCAATAGGAGTTTGTCACTTAAGATCATAAAATGACAATTAACGTCAGACTACTGCGGAGGTAGTTGTGTCACCTTATGAAATACACAACGAAATTGTAATCACTCAAACACTATGATATATATCGATCTCCATTCTCATTTACAAGAAATGTGTTATTTGAATGATGACTATCAAATAAGTTGTGGCTACACTAATAAACTTCAGCATTAATGATATGTCCACAGAAAACATATCATATATGAAAATTTTTAACTGCCACGCTTCTATCAATTCCATGAACGCCTTAGCTTGTACCCTCATGCTCTTCGGTAGATCGTAGTCCATGATGAGCTTGTTCACCAAAATCTTGGTTTCATTTCTCGTCACTAGCAATCTTTCGCATGATAGCGATAGCAAGCCCACTCCCACAACAGCGGTTGTACACCAAATGATGATCGTTGCCAAAGAATCGTAATCTTGCTCAATTGTCCACGTACGCATGTAGTAAAATAGTGAGGTCCAAATCGTTATTACGATATACACGAAGGTTGCCACGAGAGACATGAAAATTTGAAAGTTATATATATCGTTGATGAGACTGCAATTTTCTCCGATAATGTCATATGCCACAGCTAAATCTCTAATCTTCATGTTGTCAGGGGTAGTTTGTCCAATCAAATTCAATTCTTTGCTTTTTTTCTTCTTTGATATTTTCTGGTCTTTCACAAGAAATATTGATAATTTAGTATCTTTTTCTTTGATGAATACAGCTATATAATTATTGATGACTGCAAGCCTAGTTGAAAGCATCCATATCATCAAGCAGAACAGACACAACTCGAGATTTTGTTCTAAATATATAGGCAGTATAATAATTTTTCCTAATGGGATATTACCGTCTTCTGTCAGCAAGTCAGCGGTTCCAAGCAACCCATGGAATATCAAAATAGCAAGCATGCTTATTTTAACGACTTTTCGTGACTTTTTGTAAAAATCTTGGTTGGCATCGATATGTAATTTGAAATCGAGGTCCGCAATAGATTTAAATAAGCGAATATTCGACTCGCTTAGTAGGAATGTTGTTCTTATAGTTGTTAAAACATATTGCGCAAGTATTATAATAGAAGGCACTTCATCCATTACATCTATTAATTTGCCCGACGTCCTGATTGCACCCGGCAATCTTAAAACTGACGCGAAGAACACAGAGTATATTGATGTTATCATTAACGTGAAGAATTTCAATTTGCCATTTGTAGGTGCTAATCCATCGTCAGTGATTCTGCATCTAAATATTCCGTAACAGTTTTCGATAAAGAAAACTGATCTAATAGCACGAATGACTTCATTTGTTTTATATTTTTTGGGGACATTCTCCTTAGTATTTTCACTTCCTGTCGTAGCAGGTTTCTCAGGTTTAGAATCCATTTTATTTGAAATTAATAGAAGTCTCTACATTGTTTTCCTTATAACGGTTAGTTGAAAACTGTTTTGTTCAGTATGAAGGCTGCGAGGTATTAACGTTAGTAATCAAGTAAGTGCGCATTTCAATAAACTAATCAAATAACGATAATAAGTAAAACTAATTAGTTCCCTAAGAACTTCTACATACAAAGAAACAATAACCAAATTCGATCATAATGTTCTCCAATAATTTATTGAATGTAACTTTATATATTAATAGATTAATTTATTTTGAGGTGCTCAATCAGTAGGTAATAAATTAATACGTTTAATCAAGTAAGTGGTAATGAATTACGATAATTAATGCATGTAGGTACCTTTAGTACAACAGACAATAGAAAAAGTAATTATTTTTTATTGACAAGTAAGCTGAGACATATTACGTATGACGACCTAGGGTCAAGATCCAATATTCGGGGCGGAAGGCTGCGATGGGTGGCTGAAAAGCTACGAGGGGCGGCAATCTGCAAAATCCAGTTAGTTTATCCAAAAGGCATTAGTTACTGACCTATATTTTGCTTTAATTTACTAAATATAGAGAGGGGGGGGGGGGGAGGCGTCAAATCGCAATTTTCAATTCCTTGCTATAAAAAGTACCTACAACAACATTGATAACTTGGCCAACTATAACTTAACTTTATGTACGTAACTTATTCCTTAAGAATAAGGGGGCGTTTTTTATTTAAGGGGGGAAAATAGTTCCATACTTGCATTAGTATTGATTAACAGACACACCCTTACCCTAAGCACGAAGAACTAGTTAGCGAGAAAGATTACGGTTCGCCGCGCCATCGTCAAAGTTTCTATGGAAAGTAGGCAGCCCTATCGGATGTAAAAACAAACCATAGACTTTTTGACAATGGCAATACCAATACTTTTTGGTTAAATAGTTCTTCGTGCTTGGGTAATGATAGTTGGTTTATGTGGAACTAAATTCTAAATAAAAGCTTGTGAAACTACTTCAGGGAAATATAATGTTGTTTTAACATTCTGGAGATAATGAAAAAAACTCTTAATTCTTCATTTAATGTTAGGTACTTCATTCTTCTCTTCATTTAATAGCTTCATTTCTTCATTTTATAAGTAGATAGGTATCCTATGCAGCAACATCTATCTAAATCTAAACGGATCGTTTATTTTTACGAAATTTAATAGGTAGGTAGGTAACAACGTAATAGATAATAAGTAATATTTTTTAATGTATTTAAATGCGTAATATTACTATTTATTTTATGGTAATATAAGAATTCAATGTCTGTTAGCTTTTTCTTTGGAAAATATAAGTTATTAGCATTTAAGCACTATATTTTTTTTACAAAACATTATAGATTTATTAACTCTATATTTCACCTTGCCTATTCTACCACTATATACTACTAAAACTACTGTGTTGTACACATAGCGTCATCTACATAAAACTGCTTAAACTCACTATTTTTTCTTACTTCTAAAATTTTGCTATTCACCGACAGATGGCATTGAGTACCAGAATCAATGAAGTATAATAAAACAATAAGGGGCAGAGTGAATTTTGTTAAAATTAACATTAAACTTACCATCTAAGGAAATCTGTCATCCCAATGTGAATGTGTGAATTTACGGGTCTCAATAAAAACAAAAAACTAAGCTTCCTTTAAAGAATCCTAAAAATTTCGCAAACTAAGAATGCTGGATTCATGAAATAAATTCTAATTGATAGACAATGAAATACTCCTTAAATGAAAATATTAAAACTCCTTACTTATTATAAAGTTATATCATAAAAAATCAAATTAAATCAAAAGGAAGACTTTCGAAGATGGAACTACGAAATTACTGCATTTGTTTTTGCTTTTGTTTCTTATCTGTTATTTATTAATTATATGAACCGTGTCGATAGTGTTGAATATTAATTATTCAAGCTGAAGAATGCACCAGAATTCTCACAATGTTGGAAACCACCCGGAGTCAGCGCGATACAGCCAGGAGGACTGTCGGTGTGTCGCTGTCTACAGTACAAAGAGTCCCCTATCGATCGCGGGGCCCTGGGCACTTGCCCAAATTGCCCAATGGGAAAGACGGGTCTGACCACAGAACGAGAAGATTGATACTTGGCGAACACCTTGCTTCGAAATCGCTTTCTCAAAAATCAATTTCGGCACCTCGGAGGAAGTAACCCAAGCGCATGGACAGTAATACAACGACTTGCTAAAGCTAAACTGGACCGTGGGCATCGTATTATAAGATATGCCCAGAACCACTTAAATTAAACTATTGGTGATTGGTCAAAAGTTATGTTCTCCGACGAATCAAAGTTAATGCTCTACAAGCACGATGGAAGTGTTACACAGTGTTACACGGGGTACAATGTTACAATGCACATTTCTCCGTCCCTTTCTATTAGTTTTATGATGTTGGTATACACGTATGTCGAACTCACAAGCCGCCATCTTTGAACCGTTTTTTCTGCCACACTTTGTACCGCACTTGAAAATTAACAAACAAAAATGGTTTTTGTGTGATTAAGCGTCGAAAAAACCGTTTCAAAGTTTTTATTTTTTTTCCGGACGTGTTGTATTGAGGTAAATATTTATAATTTTTATTTTAATGTTTATTTAGCTACATATTACAATTGAATTATTTGTTTTAAAAATAGCCTAAAATATTCATTCCAATTTATTCAGTTTGGTTTGCCTCTCTGGGGCACTTTTTTTTTATGCAAAATAGGCAATGCGTTTGACCACAATCTCACCTGATGGAAAGCGATGATGAGGCCTAGGATGGTACACGCCTGCCTAGAAGATGCCTATTCACTCTGGCCTTGAAGATGTCCAGATTATATTGGTCCGGGAAAACAGACCTCGGCAAGGAGTTCCACTTCCTAGCCGTTCGTATAATGAAGGCCGAAGCAAATCGCTTCGTGCGAATGGGAGGAACTTCGACAACATAAGGGTGGAAGCCCTCGCTGCGCCTGGTCGTCCGGTGGTGGAAAGGGGAAGGGGAGATTAGCCTCAACGAGAGCGTTATTGCCTATGAGTCTCT